TCAGTATCTCACTTAGTAATAACTTTTATATGAGAAGTGTGTTCGATATATGAGAAACGATCTCTACAAACTTGGATGGAATCTTTCTCTCCTAAATGATGGGCTATCTCCCAAGTTTAGTCTGTATGCGGGGAGGAAGTAGTTACAATGTAATATTTTGCTTGTACAACTTGACGGCAGAGAAACTTACGTTGTAGAACCAGCTGAGCCTGTATTATTCCTCGGGTTTCCTATATCGATCTGATCTGCTTATATGACGGTACCCATATGCATATGAAAGCGACTCAGTATCGTATTATAGCATACAGTTTAAAAATGAAGTGGGGGGTTTTTTTTTGAATCGCACTGGTAGGAGAAGAACAATAGGGGTATAACGGAGAACCAAACACAGAGGAAGCTTTTAATAAATGTGGTATGTGCGCAATACATGAATTGGTATTTTATAGCTATATCGAGTGACGACTGACGAGTCGCACTCTTTCATCTCTCTCTCTGTCTCTCTAGTAGATTTGAGAGATAAGACCAAATTCAGGAGCTACTCTACTGGATTGTACAACTGGTCTGCCGACTGTCGCTACATACATATTTTTTATATTAAAATTGTATGTAAATACCGATATAAACCGAACACATGAATTTTCATTTCATACTCATAACTCATATACATACATTTCGAATTTCTTCCGACGACCAGGTTTCTGACATTCTGTCACAGCGGAAATCGTAAATTTAGGAGCGACTCTACAATCTACATACACTCTTTCCAGAGGGCCGTGTTTTTATTGGGTTTCTACACAGTATCACATTTTCAGAAATGTTGAGATACGTACTTTTTATTGGTATCTATGTTACACTCTCTAGAGGGGCGATGTGGAACGCGGGTTGATGTTAATTTTTACTGGGGCAACCGCCGGCAACGGCTGAATGGCATCGTAAGATTTGAGTTTTTTTTTGTGAAGGACGGGACACGAAGTCACGATTTACGAATCACTGTCAGAAACTCAGAACTGTACGCCTCCTTCATTCAGAGAGTGACTCATTCTAAGAGAAGTAAAAAGACTACGCTGGTCGCTGCTTAGTTACATCATGACCAACTAGAAGTGTATTTAAAATTTCATGGCCCTCTGGATTTGAGTCTGCGCTAAATTTACGATTTCCGCTACGACTCGAGGCCCAAAGCCAGGAGGGCCGTGAAAATTTACGGTATGTAAATACAACGGACAAGTCCGTGCTCCGTAGGAGTTACGTTCGTCGGGTTTTTTTGTGTGTTAAATATTTATATATCTTGTCTTTTACCAATTTCCATACCCAGCCAGCCAAGTGGCCAGGCCCAGGCCCCAGGGTTCCACCACTTTACTAAGCAGAAGATATTAATGTGGGGTTGATTTCTTAGTAGATAAAAGTATCTTGCTTGCCTGTTCTTTGGGTGTTAATTTTATTTTGAAACAGCTTGTTTCGTGTTCGTTTTTTATAGGCAAAAACAAAACAACAAATTTGTATAATGACCAAGCAAAGTGTCGAACTCGCAAGTCATCACGACTTCAAAAATGGGTTTGCAATCATCATGTTTTTTATCGCGTAATCTTTGCGAATCTTAATACACGAGTTTTCGAGACACTGAAATGAATGCCTTCATGAACGCCCTTGCCATTCCATACCCTCATTCTGGCACATACGATGACATTTGCCGTTTATATGGAGTTACACTCGCCGCAGGCCCATTGTAGGCCACCCTGATATATACAAATTGGATTGCATCTGAACGCGAACTACTACAGCTGGCAAAAAAATAGCCGGAATCTACATAAAATACAAACATTGTTTCCGTCTCATTTCTCGTCCAAGGGTTGCTGTAAACATAATGCCTAACTCAAGCTGCTAGGCATACCCTCATTAGTCGAGGGCACTGGACCCATAAGAAGTTCGCTCATATATCGCATAGAGACCAGCTGTTGTACGACACAAATGCAAAGTTAATAACGCAGTAGCTTGACGAGAGAGGCTGCCTTCTATATTGTTTATTGTCTTCCCGAGGGTACTTCTCTCAGAATGACTCCGTGATAGCGAAGCGATTGTCGAGCATGCTGTTTTTCCTGACATAGAATTTTTTTGTGAAAGTCTTCCGGCAATGCCGCGATATCGATTACTTTGTTTGTAGCCCGATTTTGTTGAAAATAATAGGCAAAGGCAGATGTCCAGCTCGGTCATGGCTGATGCAGCAATATAGCAATAAACAAGAACTATATTGCACACACTTGCGCACTTCGCGTGTATAGGATCTCATTTGGGCTATATGCCCTGGTACATGCTCCCGGCGGCGGCGGCGGCTTTTTCTTCTTCTTCTGATTGCTTAATAATCGAGGCATGTGTTAGGCAGGGGGATTGTGGACAACTCATCACCAGCCGTCGTCGGAGTCGTCTTTGTCGTCCTCCTCATCCGAATCGTCACTGAATACGCGGCGACGATGTATCTGTGTGTGTAAGCAAGCAGTCAATCAACCACAGAGTATATTTTAAGAGGTACTCGAAATGAATAAAACTCTGCTTCATTTGACTTGTTACACCCGGTCCGGCTGTGGTTGAGCACTAAGCCAGTATTGGTAAACACAGGGAACGAGTTACGAGTATTGTATTAGTGTCATAAGTGGGATATACACTCAGTATTCGGTCATCAAGCTCAAATCGGTAAGTACACGCAGGTAACAAGTAGAACCACAGCACTCTCCACCCAAATTAATGAATTCAACACGCGCAAGCTACGATTGGCGCAATTCAAATTCCCAGTATCCTTTATGAAAATGTGTAAGCAAGTATCGTATGAAAACACGATGAGATACGGTTGGTACAATCCAAATTCCCCGTACTTTTTATGAAAATGTGTAAGCAAGTATCGGATGAAAACATGAGATATCTGCTGTAGGCGAGATATATGTGTCTTTAAAAAAGTGGCGCATAGTGAGACACAGAAAAACACGATACCTTGATCTGTTTCTTCTCAGACTGCTCGTTTATCTGATCAATAAGGGACATGAGCATTTCCTCAGTTACTTTAGGCTTGATCTGTCCGCTTTGAAACATGTTCAGCAATGCATTCTCAATCATCTGACCTTTTTCCTGTTTGACCGAAGCTATCCTACCGACTGTTGGATCATACGTTGTGTATTTAATTCCAAATATATTTTCTAAAAAATATGCTGAGAAACATGCTCGTACGGTATAGATTCATCTACCGTGCATTTAACAATCACGGAACTAAAATCCGTACTTCCAAATCTATCAAAGTGATCATATAAAATTATAATTGGTTTTTATGTGTGCCGTGTTCTCCGATTGCGATGGGGAAAAAAGCATGTAGATGCATGATAAGGGTGGTTGAATTGTATAAGATTGCGAATTGATTGCCCAGATGTTCTACAGTAGTTAAACATAGCTTATGACAATCTATAATTTTCAGTCGTGTACATCGATAGGGTTACAGTACCGCGTTTGACCTAGCAGAACAGCTTGTTGCATATCAGATTCAAACCTAAATAACAAAACACCTGGTTCTCAAATCGCTTTCATTTATTCGACTGGGACCGACCATAAGTTTGTACTAAAAAAAACTATCAAACCTCATACACATGCAGCAAAACCCACTAAACACGCGATACTATGGCCATAGCACTCACGACATCAAACCAACAGTACTTACGTCTTGCCCTGGCATCTTGTGTGAGGAGATGGGATAACATCGTACTTTTCATCTCCTGTCTGCATTGAACAATAGAAGTCACATACATTCGAGGCTTGAGAATGCGGTTCATAGTCTTCAGGTGCACGAGTGACTATCTGTACTTGCGTGTGTTATGATTAGATCGGCACCTGTAACAGCACCTTCGCTCCCAGTTACGAGAAGCTGAGCGGTCACATTCTACGACCCAGGTAGTAGCCGACCAAGGTTTATTAAAAATGTACAATAATGTATTTAGAAGTTTTCTGACAGGAAAAAAGGGCAAGGGCAGAACCATACAAAGCAGCACGAGTTAGTTTTACACACTGCAACTTTTGCATTAATACGCTCTCTGATTCCCATAGGGTTGTGTATTTACTAGCGCTAGAAATGGAGCCTTACTTACAGATCGCCGCATATACGCGGTAACTAGACATGGCCACACCAGATTGTGTGCTCAAGTCACTCGCACTGTATAAGCAAGCCATGAATACTCAGCAACGACACACACGAGTATCACGATCTAAACGCAACGTTGGTTGTCCATATCAGTAACTTAGCAGAAGCCATACGCACCATGAAGACCAAATTTGTGCCCCTATAGCCCACTTCGGATTTATGTTGAACCTAGTCCGCATTAATACCTTGGTACGACATATACAAGACGATAGCTACGGAAGATCGGTTCGTGAATAAACCCTGCGACAGAACGTACATACAAAACACCCAATCGATGTGAGAGGCAAATTAAAAGCAAATACACTCCGTGGATTCATCTAAGCACACGGAGTATACGTACATTTAAAAAGTAAACAAGAATAGCCGACGCATTTTAAAAGAAACACTGATACAAAACTACGCGGCCAGATGATACTGTACATACAGTTTATGATACATGGAGTAGACTCAGAACACTACGTACATACCTTTGCCTCATCTCTTCTCGTAACTGTTGCTGTCGTTCGGCATCGCCGCCACCACCGACGCCGGGGGGAGCGCTGGCGGAGAAACCTTCCGGAAGTCCTTCTGAGCTCTATTATTTGGGAAGATTAAATTTTAGTGTACTAAGAATATGTATACATCGTAAAGTACTAAATTTATGCATGCACAATCACAAACACACACACACACACACACACACACACATATATATATATATATAACTATAAAGAACAAAGACAATAAAAACCCACCACCCACCCACACACACACAC